AGAGGGAAAGGAAAGGGAAAGAAGGGACGTGTGGGTTAAACCCATAAATATCCATGAAAAGTGAGAGGAAAATGGAAAACTCTGATGCATTGATGCTGAGGAAGACACCTGTGAAAACAAAGGACAGAGTGATTAGGGGAGAGGCTGGAAGACTTAGGTTCACTTAGAAAACCTGAGAGCCGAGGTTGGCTGAGGGCGGATACCTCTGTGAAGATCCGGATGAATGCTCAGTGACCACCACACTACCCTCACCTTTGGAGAGAGAAATCAAACTTAGGAGAAGCTAGAAAAAGATGGGGTATTGCAGGCCTAAAATCAGGGAAAAGGAGACCACAACTCATCCACAGAGCCTCAGCCCAAGTGTGGTTACAGGCACTGCTGCGGCCATGACAGCCACTTGAGGTCGTGTCCCCTGCTTTAAGAGCTTTGAGGGTTGTGGAGAGCCAGAGTTCCTTCCCTAAGAACAGTCCACATGTCCTCAGCTCAGACAAAACCCAGATACCAGGAGCTTAGTCAGTCTGATATCAGCATGAGCCAATTTAGTCACACATAAGAGGAACCAAAATGGCCTCCAAGGACTGGCCAGAGGAGAGCGATGGGGATGTTGATGTACAGGCCTGCGGGCTCTGAGTAACAATCCAAATTCACAAGTACTAACGCATGTTTTCCGACTGGTAAGCTTTCATGAGAGAATCTACTGGGGACAGAAGGAAGGACAGCACTGACGACATTTTTCTGATTATTTCTTCTCTCCTTAACACTGAGCCACTGGGGGAGAACAGCCTTGCTCCTGAACAACCGGTGCTCAATGATGCCTGCGTAATAAATGCATGAATATGTTAATTCGCAGAAATAGCATTTGTGTGTCTGTGCAGATGAAAATGCTTTGAAAATTGTGAAACTGTAATATTAAAGCACAGGGGACAGAGTGCTGTACTGAGTCAAGATTCATCCTGGACGACAGTTGTGGTGGCACTGATAGGACTGTTTTATCCTCTCCAAGGAGAGGTACATTATTCCAAAAGTAGGATGGTAAAGATCAATCTCCTTGACTACTAGAAGTCTGGGCATAAAAATTAAGTAAATCAACGAATTAAATAATCAACACTCTTTTCCTCTTGAGCGTCTCTTTGGAAGACTCCTGGAACCGAATGCAAACAGCTCTTAATGGCGGACAGTCTTGTTACATAGGTATCGGTAGAATGTATCAATGTAGCATTCACGACTAGGGTTACTGTACTTTATCAACATGAAATAAAAGTTGGCTGCTCACAAGACAAGATATAAAAATGTTAAATGACTCATGGAAATGTTAGAATACACCTTGAGGAATTACATTTTTAGAGATGAATAACCCAAATACAACCATTATAGAATCACTGGCTAAGATTTTGCTGAAGAGTTATTAAAGGATCTCAGCATTTAAATACCTTGCCAATTAGAAAATAATTCTGGAAAAACCATATGAGTGTGTGTTTACTACAATATTCTCCATTGTCTGTGTTAGGGTGACCAAAAATTAGTAGCCTTAACCTTCATGCCAAGGAAAATAAATTGTTTGGCTTGCTACAAAATTAATGTTTTATACTTAAGATATTACCAACTACCAACACATCATAAAGACTTCCTTTGTCTTTCTCATGCCTCTGAATGGATGCCTCCAGAGCTTATCAGAAGCCGTATTGGGATTCATTTGTTAGTGAGGAAGGTGGTCTGAGGTGAGACCCAACTGGAGGTGCAGGGCTACTTCAACAGCGGGCAGCGGCAGTGACATCAGGTATAGCTTACAGCAGCTGCTGCAGCCGCCACAGAAGCAGCAGCTGCCTCAGAAGCAGCAGCTGCTGTAGCAGCTGCAGCAGCAACAGCAGCAGCTAGCATGTTCTGGTAAAAGCATCCTTGGCCCAGCATTGCAACTGTGTGTCAAGGTGCAGCCCAGCTGTCCATGATCAGCAGGGAAATTGCATTTTTTCTACACCCGCCTGGTTCTGCCATGTGGGTTTGGACATTGTTTTTCATGTGCATCTTCTGAGGCTGCTGCTCTGGTGTTGCTTGGAAATTCTGTGACTCTCCTAGTATTCCCTTTTCAGTTTAAATTGCAGTTGTTATTTCTCCCTAATGGATGATTGCCTTTTGCGAAACATTAGAGTCATCCAGAGCCATGAAGTCTCTTTGAATATCTCTCTGGAGAGGGACAGTTCTGGAGACTGCAGTCCAGGAGGGGTGAACCTCAAAGCAATCAGAAGTGATCTCTGGCATCCCCCTCGTGCCCAGCAGAAGCAGAATGGCACCATAAAAAGACCCCAGTGCCCTCAGCATCAGAAACTCTGCCGAACACAAGATCTATAACCAATTTACCTCCCTGGAAAGTATTTTCTTTTACTTGTATACAACAATGATAGTCTTATTTTGCAGCACTGTTACAAGAGTTATAGAAAATGAATGTGAAATCGTGATCCAGATCTTGGATGTGATGAAGAGAAGATTAAGGCAGAAAGAAGGAATGAGTTGAACCTGAGGACAAACACCCCAAGACCAACAATCACTATGCAGTGAAGTCTCCAATGTACTATTCGAGCCTGTGATTTCTTTCTAGCTCCCTTACATGAGGTGGATTCATAAGGAATTCTCTCGACAGTGTCCCTCACATGAACAACTACGGGACAAATATCTTCCCTGAGTGCAAAGTCCTGTAGACAGCTTCTTCTATGGTATTCCCATTTGTCTATTTCACAAGCAGTTTAACTTTCTTATGTCTAGAAACTAATTCTTCATCCCAATACCATGTACAGATATTCCTCCCCAGTCTTCTGTCCCTGTTAATGGCATCATGTGATGCTCATTTATGTCCAGCAAATCAATAGCAGTAATTCTTGAGTAGTCCATTGCTTGCATCCAACTCATCAACATGTCTTGAAAGTTGTTCTAAAATGCATGGAAGATACGAAGAATCTCTGGGCATCTCCACGTCTCCTTGATAACCTATTCTCACTCTTCACAATTTCTCAGCCAGACTAGAGGCTAATAATTTGCTCTATAAAGGACCAGATAGTAAAATTTTTGTTTTGCAGGCCATACATTCTCTGTCACAGCAATTCCATACTGCCACCCTGGCATGAAAGTAGCTACTGGTAAAATGCCTGCCAATCCTGCATGTGTTTTGCTGAACACTATTTACACAAACATGTAGCAAGCCAAGGTTGACTTATGGCTAATACCTTGCCCACCCCTCACTTAGTCTACCAGAGCCACCTTCTAATTTTGGTTTCTGCATCTAAGTTTGACACTACTATCCTTCCACACAATTCAAGTTTTTTAAAACGCAAAACAAATCAGATCTTCCTGTAACATAAAATTCTTGAAAGGCTTTTTATTACAAATAAAACATGAGCTGTGTACCATGGCCAGGAACTTTCTGAATAACTAGTTCTTTCCATGCTCAGTCCAACCTCAGTCCCATCACTCTCCCCTTTCTGGCTGAGTTCCAGCCCCTGCCAGTCCACTGTCCTTACTATAAGCCCCTAGGCATCTGTTGCTTCTGAGTTGTCCTTCTGCTCTTCTCTTCAGACTCTTCTCTAGGACCTTTCCTGGCCTGTGTCCCTTTACAATGCCAGCGTCCCCGGCTGCTGCTCTAAGCTAGGCATCCTCATCTCATCTCATGGTAATTTTGAGGTTGAGTATCAAGTTATGTGACTTCTTCACAGCAAGCACACATAGCCACATCTTTGCCTCCCGTGCCAGATTATAAACTCACCGCAGACAAGGCCCTCGGTGGCTCCTTTCATCACTGGATCTTGAACTCTTACAATAAATACAAATTGAGTATTTGAACGAATTAGATGACAAAAGACAAAGCTGGACCCAGATATAGAAGAGTCTGGACCCCAGGAGACATGGATTGAGGATATTTTCACCAGAAAAAAGAGAACTTGGAAAGATCAGGACCTGGAACTGTTTGAATTACTGCTGAAGGGAACAGGGAAAGAGCTGATGAAGAACAAACAAAAGGCTTTATATGACATGTAGTCAGAGGAAAGAAGAAAGTAAGGAGCAAGGGTGCTGTGGTCTGAGTGGTTGTGTGATTTTTAGAAATTTACTTAAGATATGTGGCAACCAAATATAATTATTATGTTATAGACTTATAAAAACAATTCATTGTTATGAAGCCCTATAAATATATATTCTAAAGCCCTGATGGGAAAAGGAGCTGGGGAGAATATTCTAAAGATTATTCAGATCATTTTTTTTCTTTAATCCTTTAGAATATGTCTCAAATATTAGTGAGTGTAAGAGTTTCCAAAACAGCCTGTTAAAACTCACATTCCTAGCAGCCTCACTCACTTAGGCTAATTGAATTGTTGTTCTGGGCAGAGCTGAAGAATTTTCTTCATTAGAAATTCAATAAAATTCAAGCTTTTGATTGTGCCGTGAGTGACCCCAACACATCTGAGGTGCACAGCCAGATGCCCACTCAAAGTAGACATCATTTTTTTTAAAGCGGGGGGGGGGGCTCACTTGTGAACATAACACTGGCTCCAGGGACTGAATCTGGGGTGCTGAAAGCTTCTTTTGTTCCCAGCTGGGCACCAGGTCCCTTCCACGGAGCATGCCACTTTGGGTGCAGTGGGACACCTGGTTCAGACCCACTATGGGTAGGGCCCGCAGGCTTGATGCTTGTTGTTGGGACACAGGAGAGGTCTGGCTGGTGGACCTTCACATGCTGACCAATGGTCATGAGGGGATCCAGAGTGGACAATGACGGCCAATATTGGCCCCTGCCTCCATACAGGTCACAATCTAGTGAATGGGAAAAGTTATT